TGAATTTGTGTCCTCAGATCTCAGTACTTATGATCTGATGGTGCTTTTTGTGTTGCTTACATCTTGAGCCTCTGTCTGGGAACTGTGAAACATGGGAAATGACAGTGGTTGCAGTTTGCTCATATTAAACAAACCCAGTCTGGTTCTCCTCACCCCCCAAATAAATGATACTTTCAGCTGTAGAGTGAAACATTGCAACCTTTGGAAAAACTCATTCCTAGGGGGCTGAAGATGATCTCCACTGATCCACTGAGTAGGATGTTCTTTGTAAGCCACATAGAGATGATATTTATTTATTTATTTGTTTATTTGATAAGGACAAGTATGTTTCATGAAACATGTCACACACTACAACACTATCAGTGCTGCGATTGAGTACGGGACAGATTAGATTCATTTCATTGAAGAGGGAATTGTTTGAGAAGGAGAAATTATGTTCTTCAACAATAAAAAGTCACAGATAACCATCCATCCATCCATCCATCCATCCATTGTCCACCGCTTATCCGGGGTCGGGTCGCGGGGGCAGCAGCCGGAGCAGGGAAACCCAGACTTCCCTCTCCCCGGCCACTTCAGCCAGCTCCTCCGGGGGGATCCCGAGGCGTTCCCAGGCCAGCCGGGACACATAGTCCCTCCAGCGGGTCCTTGGTCTTCCTCTGGGCCTTCTCCCGGTGGGACGAGCCCGGAACACCTCCCAAGGAAGGCGACCAGGAGGCATCCTGAACAGATGCCCGAGCCACCTCAACTGGCTCCTCTCCACGTGGAGGAGCAGCAGCTCTACTCTGAGCCCCTCCCGGATGGCCGAGTTTGTCACCCTATCTCTAAGGGAGAGCCCAGCCACCCTGCGGAGGAAACTCATTTCGGCCGCTTGTATCCGCGATCTCGTTCTTTCAGTCACTACCCAAAGTTCGTGGCCATAGACGAGGGTGGGAACGTAGATCGACCGATAAATTGAGAGCTTCGCCTTTAGGCTCAGCTCTCTCTTCATCACAACAGACCGGTACAGCGCCCGCATTACTGCAGACGCCGCACCGATCCGCCTATCGATCTCACACTCCCTACCCCCATTCGCAAACAAGACCCCGAGATACTTGAACTCCTCCACTTGGGGAAGGACGTCCGCTCCGACCCGGAGAAGGCACTCTACCCTTTTCCGGTGAGAGACCATGGTCTCGGACTTGGAGGCACTGATCCTCATCCCAGCCGCTTCGCACTCGGCTGCGAACCGCTCCAGTGAGAGCTGTAGGTCCCGACTTGATGAAGCCAAAAGGACCACATCATCTGCAAAAAGCAGAGATGCGATCCTAAGGCCACCAAGACTGACACCCTCAACACCTCGGCTGCGCCTAGAAATCCTGTCCATAAAAGTTATGAACAGGACCGGAGACATAGGGCAGCCTTGGCGGAGTCCAACTCCCACCGGAAACGAGTCCGACTTACTACCGGCAATGCGAACCAAACTCTGACTCCGGTCGTACAGGGACCGAACAGCCCGTAACAAAGGGCCAGGTACCCCATACTCCCGGAGCACCCCCCACAGGATACCCCGAGGGACACGGTCGAACGCCTTCTCCAAGTCCACAAAAAACATGTGGACTGGTTGAGCGAACTCCCATGCACCCTCTAGGACCCCGCTGAGGGTATAGAGCTGGTCCAGCGTTCCACGGCCAGGACGAAAACCACCCTGTTCCTCCTCGATCCGAGGCTCGACTATCAGACGGACCCTCCTCTCCAGAACCGCTGAATAGACCTTCCCAGGGAGGCTTAAGAGTGTGATCCCCCTATAGTTGGAACACACCCTTCGGCCCCCCTTTTTAAAAAGGGGGACCACCACCCCAGTCTGCCAATCCAGCGGAACTGCCCCTGATGTCCACGCGATAACCAGTGATTTTTAAAAAAGCTGACTAACATAAAACCAGAAAGCTGTCTTTCAGGGATGCAGGAGATTAATGAAATCAAAAAAGATTACATCAGTGTAAGTGGATATCTTTAAAAGATATTGTATAGAAAACTCCATCATAACCATATTAACCCTATAAAAGATGTGCGGTGTAGGTTAAAGAAGAAAATCCTCTGAAAGAGTTCATAATAAACTATCCAACATAACTGGTTGATGTTATTTTTTGGTTGATAAAAACAGTCTTTTTAAATGCTTAGAAATTTCTTTCATTTTCAGTCCATACATGAATGGATTAAAGAGAGGATGGTACAGAATTATTTGTATTGTCATTACAAATCGAGCTATTTGTGGAAGATCTGACTCCACTCGAGCTATAATCACATCGTATGAAGAAAAAAGTGTGAAGCCGACTAAAACCAAGAGATGAGGTAGACAGGTCTCAAAAGCCTTTCTCCTGAATTCTTTACAACTTTGATAAGATATTATAAATATTTTTGTGTAAGTAAAAACTGTGAAGAGCACAGGAAGTATTCCAACATCCAATAAAGTAACAACACCAAATGCAGTCAGAAGTTTTGATCTTTCACACAGCAAAGTGAAAACTGAATTATTACAAAATATTCCTTTTAAACTGAGGCTACATAACTTCGCCTGAGCACACAGGATTGCCTGAACGGCAATATGACAACCAGGTATAACCCACGACAGAACAAGAAAAGTAGTCACAGTGTTTTTTCCCATTAGTGTCGGATATCTCAGAGGTTTACATATTGACACATATCTGTCATA